TCTGGGACGGGTCGTCATCAAGTATCGGTCTTTCGGTCTCCTGGCTCTTGATCCCATTCCCATCACCTTACACTTGCTGGTATTGAACTCTAGCAACCAAATATCCGACCAGCTCTGCAACCTGTTCAAATCATCCGGGAGAATCTTACAATCCTCATCTGTCTCAAGTCACCTCATTAGTTTTGCATAATCTGCAAACATTGACATGTAAGGCAACTCCAGCACTACAGTTGCTTATATAAATGAGGAAATAGTATGGGGCCCAGCACCGATCCTTGAGGCATCCCGCTTGTTACTCTACGCCAGTCCCACTCCTCGCCCCCTCACTGTCACTCTGGTACCTGTTCGTTAGGTAATTCCTAACCCTTGTTAATGTGTTGCCGCCTACTCCCTCCTGCCTCTCAAGTTTGTATAGTAACCTCCTGTGTATGGAACTGTATCAAAGGCTTTTTGGCAGTCTAGAAATATGCAGTCTTCCCATCCTTCTCTGTCTTGCCTTATTTTCTTTACCTTATCATAAAACTTCAAGTTCGATAACATGATTTCCCTTCTCTAAAGCTATGTTGTTGTTTACTTACAATCCTAATTCTTTCTGGGTGTGCAACTAGTCTTGGCCTTATAATTTTTTAAAGTAATTTGCAAGGGATGCTTTTGAGTGACACTGGTCTGTAGTAAAGTGCCTTTTCTCTAGCTCCTTTCTTGTAGATTGGCACCACATTTGCCTTCTTCCAGCAGCTGGGCAAGTAAGTAATTATCAAAAGAAGGCACCAAACCGGGAAGGCTATGTAGCACCATTAAATGCGCAGAATAATCAGAGGGCGCTAAATATCACCAAGGATGCCAATACGAGAACAAAAACGCATAAGGCGAACGATATCAAAAGTATCCGAGTCACCAAGAATGCTATCGAGGGACAGGTGACCGCGAGGGGCGGTCGGAAAGCAAGACACACGCTCGTCCTGGAAGTCAGGACATTCAAGAAGGACATGCACGACCGTAAGAGGGACAATGCAACTAGGACAATAAGGAGCAGGGCGGCGCTCCATCAAGTGACCATGAGTTAAGCAAGTATGGCCAATACGCAACCTCGCCAGAGCTGTTTCCCACCGCCGGTTACGGTGGAAGGAGGACGGCCACGAGGAAACACAACATTTAAGAGTACGTAGCTTGTTACCAGTAACAGACAACCAAGAAGCCTGCCAACGGGTAAGGACTGAGGAATGGATAACCGGGTAAAAGTCGGAATACGGAATGCCCTTGCGAGAGATGGGACAAGAGCGGACAGCTTCCTTGGCAGCAGCATCCGCACGCTCATTTAAAGACACACCAATATGGCTGGGATCCCAACGAAACTCAACCGACTTAAATTTACTGTGAACGAGAAACAGCCAATGCTGGATCTCGACAACTACTGGATGAACAGCAGCTGGGCAAGTCCCCCTGTGTAAGTGACTCATTATAGTTTAGTGCTAGAGGTACCTTACCTTGAGGTTACTTTGTGGTGTTTTCAGGGCTTAGCGGCCCTGTCGTCGACCAGGCCTCCTCGTTGCTGGACTAGTCAACTAGGCTGTTTGACGTGGTTGCTCGCCGTCTGGCGTATGAATCACAGCCTGGTTGATCAGGTATCCTTTATAGGTTTTTATCAAGTTCTCTCTTGAACACTGTGAGGGGTCGGCCAGTTATGTCCCTTATGTGTAGTGGAAGCGTGTTGAACAGTCTCGGGCCTCTGATGTTGATAGTTCTCTCTTGAACACTGTGAGGGGTCGGCCAGTTATGTCCCTTATGTGTAGTGGAAGCGTGTTGAACAGTCTCGAGCCTCTGGTGTTGATAGTTCTCTCTTGAACACTGCGAGGGGTCGGCCAGTTATGTCCCTTATGTGTAGTGGAAGCGTGTTGAACAGTCTCGGGCCTCTGATGTTGATAGTTCTCTCTCAGAGTACCTGTTGCACCTCTGCTCTTCAACGGGGGTATTCTGCACATCCTGCCATGCCTTCTGGTCTCATGAGATGTTATTTATGTGTGCAGGTTTGGGACCAGCCCCTCTACTACACGTGTAAATTATTATGTATCTCTCCCGCCTGCGCTCAATTGAATACAGATTTAGGCTCTTTAGTGGTACCCACTATACTTTAGTCGGTATATATGAGGTATGATGAGTTTCTGTGCTGCTTCTTTTACCATCCATGGTGATATTCTATCTGGCCCAGTAACTTTAGGGGCATTAGATTAGTTTTCTAAAAGATGTTCAATATCAACCAATATTTTTTGACTAGTTGTATATGAAAAGGGCTGCAATTGTTCCAAGTTTCAGTACTGCAGCCTAAATAGAAAGCGAGATTTCATTTTTTTTTTTTAACGAATATTACACATTTTCAAGTGAGTTCAAACCTTTCACCCTTTCAGATATAATCATTTTATGACATTTTTATGACACATTAGCATATAATAAACTATCTGTAGGAAGAGATTTTCCAAAACATCTTTAGTTTTCCTAATACAAATAGTCAAAGTTCCCCCCGAAATTATGCAAATATGTCATGTTTATTGCTATTATAAAATCAATGAATGACCTTAGGGAAACAATACAACTTCAGATTAAAGAGACAAACTTTACACATAAGGTGTAAGTTTCATGTAAAATGAATAAAAATGAGAGTTTGAAGTCATTTATATTACTTGAAAAATAAATCAATAAAATATAAAGTCTAAGGTGCTGCCATCTGTGGCTGAGGTTGACATCAACCAATTTTCTCCAAAATTGACACCCTTACAGAGAGGCTTACGTGCAGTCACGTGTACGAGTTTCATGCAAATCGTCCGATAAAAAAAAAAAAAACTTAATTTTTTTTAAATAAAACTAATTATAATACCTTTTTTTAATATATACTATTCTGATAGCCGAGAGTCATAGATATGATTTCAGTTGACACTTGTGTTTGATAATCGTTTTTGACCATTTTGGAAAATTTTGACACCTACTTCAATATTTTTTTTCTCCCTACGTATTTATGCTACGATGCTCAGACTTGGACCAGATGAAACCCTTTTCATATACAACTTGTATAAAAAGTTTGACTGAAATCGAACCAGTTTTCATTTTTGGCATATTTGAAGCTATGGGCCCCTACTTTAGTTATATCCAGTAGGGCTAGCTGTTTTCTGGCCTCCTCTCCTGTTACCTCAATATTTAGTAGTTCCTCATCAGGGGCAGCTTCCTTATCAAGCTCTGGCAGCTGTTCAGGCTCAATAGTGAACACTCAATGGAAGCTGGCATTGAGCTCCTCACACATTTCTTTATCATTTTATGTATACTGGCCTCCCTCTTTTTCGTAACCTGGTCACTTGGTCACACACTAATTTTCCATCTTATATGATTATGTAGGAGTTTCTGACGTCTCTGCTTTGGAGTCAATATCATTTACATACTTTCTTCCAAACTTCTTATGTTTATGTAGTCATTCCTGGCCCGGTTGCATCTATTAACAAGTTTACCTCTGTCCTTAGCCTTCTGTATTTCCTCCACTCCCTCCTGCTTTTTGCTCTTGCTTCCTGGCACTGTCTATTGAACCTCGGGTTATTATATACCTTCCTAATATGTTCCCTTAATGGTGGCATGAATCTCTTCTGCATCTTTGCACCTCAGTTTGACTTGGTCCATCATTTCCTGGACCGTCTTCCCTCTAAGGGAACACTTCCCAGATACTCTCTTACTCTCATGTAGTCTCCTTTGTTATAGTCTGCTGCTCTCCCTTCCCTGACTCCTGGTCTTATGGACACTGTTGTGAGGCCCATCATGTAGTGGAACACCTGGACACAATGGTCACCTGCTCACTTGTGTACTCACCTAGTTGTACTCACCTGGTTGTACTCACCTGGTTGTACTTGTGGGGGGTTGAGCTCTGGGTCTTTGGGCCCGCCTCTCAACTGTCGATCAATAAACTCCCCCCCCCCCCGGGAAGCAGCCCTTAACATCTGTCTAACTCCCAGGTACCTATTTACTGTTAGTAAACAGGTGCATCAGGGTGAAAGAAACTGTGCTCATTTGTTTCCGCCTGCACCGGTGATCGCTCCCCGAACCCTAGGACTACGAATGCCGAGCGCTGTCCACTCAGCTGTCAGGCCTCTATGACCAGGTCCACCAAACAGCCGCGTCGACGACAATTTTTCCATCCCTCAACCTCAACTCCCTCCCCCCCCCACTCGCACACCCCCTCAACCCCCACCACCGCTAGCACCCATTCAACACTGCCCGCATGCAGGTCCGCACCACCACCACCACCACCACCCCCACCACCACCACGGTACACCACCACTACTGTGGCTCGCCTTGCCGCATGCATATGGAGGAGGCATCGGGCGTATTGGGGGAGGTGGGGGAGAAGTGTGGGGGATACCTGGTTGATGGGGTTCCGGGAGTTCTTCTACTCCCCAAGCCCGGCCGAGGCCAGGCTTGACTTGTGAGAGTTTGGTCCACCAGGCTGTTGCTTGGAGCGGCCCGCAGGCCCACATACCCACCACAGCCCGGTTGGTCCGGCACTCCTTGGAGGAAACAATCTAGTTTTCTCTTGAAGATGTCCACGGTTGTTCCGGCAATATTTCTTATGCTCGCTGGGAGGACGATGAACAACCGCGGACCTCTGATGTTTATACAGTGTTCTCTGATTGTGCCTATGGCACCTCTGCTCTTCACTGGTTCTATTCTGCATTTTCTTCCATGTCGTTCACTCCAGTACGTTGTTATTTTACTGTGCAGATTTGGGACCTGTCCCTCCAGTATTTTCCATGTGTATATTATTTGATATACACATGGAAAATACACATGAAAACATGTGTATTATTTGATATACACATGAAAAATTTGATATACACTCCTCTCCCTCTCGTGGGGGAGGGGGTATACACCACCGCCAAGCACCCCCCCCTCCTCCCCCCCCCCAACAACAACACACACACACTCGCCCCAACTGCCACAGGAAGCTCAGAGCGACATATTACGGGAGATTATACCGTGGTGGGTATAGATGAAGGCCGCTGGGGCTCATTTACCCAGCTTACCCTCCACACCTGCATGGTAATGGCTCCACATCTGCATGATAATGGCTCCACACCTGCATGATAATGGCTCCACACCCGCATGGTAATGGCTCCACACCCGCATGGTAATGGCTCCACACCCGCATGATAATGGCTCCACACCCGCATGGTAATGGCTCCACACCCGCATGATAATGGCTCCACACCCGCATGGTAATGGCTCCACACCCGCATGATAATGGCTCCACACCCGCATGATAATGGCTCCACACCCGCATGGTAATGGCTCCACACCCGCATGATAATGGCTCCACACCCGCATGGTATTGGCTCCACACCCGCATGGTATTGGCTCCACACCCGCATGGTAATGGCTCCACACCTGCATGGTAATGGCTCCACACCCGCATGGTAATGGCTCCACACCTGCATGGTATTGGCTCCACACCCGCATGGTAATGGCTCCACACCCGCATGGTATTGGCTCCACACCCGCATGGTAATGGCTCCACACCCGCATGGTATTGGCTCCACACCCGCATGGTAATGGCTCCACACCCGCATGGTATTGGCTCCACACCCGCATGGTATTGGCTCCACACCCGCATGGTATTGGCTCCACACCCGCATGGTAATGGCTCCACACCTGCATGGTATTGGCTCCACACCTGCATGGTAATGGCTCCACACCTGCATGATAATGGCTCCACACCCGCATGGTAATGGCTCCACACCTGCATGGTATTGGCTCCACACCTGCATGGTAATGGCTCCACACCTGCATGATAATGGCTCCACACCTGCATGATAATGGCTCCACACCCGCATGGCAATGGCTCCACACCCGCATGGTAATGGCTCCACACCTGCATGATAATGGCTCCACACCCGCATGGTATTGGCTCCACACCCGCATGGTAATGGCTCCACACCTGCATGGTATTGGCTCCACACCTGCATGATAATGGCTCCACACCCGCATGGTATTGGCTCCACACCCGCATGGTAATGGCTCCACACCCGCATGGTAATGGCTCCACACCAGCATGGTAATGGCTCCACACCCGCATGATAATGGCTCCACACCCCTGTATGACGGCTCAACACACCTGTATGATGGCTCAACACACCTGTATGATGGCTCAACACACCTGTATGACGGCTCAACACACCTGTATGACGGCTCAACACACCTGTATGACGGCTCAACACACCTGTATGATGGCTCAACACACCTGTATGATGGCTCCACACACCTGTATGATGGCTCCACACACCTGAATGATGGCTCCACACACCTGTATGATGGCTCCACACACCTGTATGATGGCTCCACACACCTGTATGATGGCTCCACACACCTGTATGATGGCTCCACACACCTGTATGATGGCTCCACACACCTGTATGATGGCTCCACACACCTGTATGATGGCTCCACACACCTGTATGATGGCTCCACACACCTGTATGACGACTCCACACACCACTATATAATGGCTCCACACACCTGTATGATGGCTCCCACCCGCATGCTAATGGCTCCACACCCGCATGCTAATGGCTCCACACCCGCATGCTAATGGCTCAACACACCTGTATGATGGCTCAACACCTATATGATGACTCAACACACCTGTATGATGGCTCAACACACCTATATGATGGCTCCACACACCTGTATGATGGCTCCACACACCTGTATGATGGCTCAACACACCTATATGATGGCTCAACACACCTATATGATGGCTCAACACACCTGTATGATGGCTCAACACACCTATATGATGGCTCAACACACCTGTATGATGGCTCAACACACCTATATGATGGCTCAACACACCTATATGATGGCTCAACACACCTGTATGATGGCTCCACACCCGCATGGTAATGGCGCCACACCCCTGTATGATGGCTCAACACACCTGTATGATGGCTCAACACACCTGTATGACGGCTCAACACACCTGTATGTCGGCTCAACACATCTGTATGACGGCTCAACACACCTGTATGATGGCTCAACACACCTGTATGATGGCTCAACACACCTGTATGACGGCTCAACACACCTGTATGATGGCTCAACACACCTATATGATGGCTCCACACCCGCATGGTAATGGCGCCACACCCCTGTATGACGGCTCAACACACCTGTATGATGGCTCAACACACCTGTATGATGGCTCCACACACCTGTATGATGGCTCCACACACCTGAATGATGGCTCCACACACCTGAATGATGGCTCCACACACCTGTATGATGGCTCCACACACCACTATATAATGGCTCCACACACCTGTATGATGGCTCCCACCCGCATGCTAATGGCTCCACACCCGCATGCTAATGGCTCCACACCCGCATGCTAATGGCTCCACACACCTGTATGATGGCTCAACACACCTGTATGATGGCTCAACACACCTGTATGACGGCTCAACACACCTGTATGTCGGCTCAACACACCTGTATGACGGCTCAACACACCTGTATGACGGCTCAACACACCTGTATGACGGCTCAACACACCTGTATGATGGCTCCACACACCTGTATGATGGCTCCACACACCTGAATGATGGCTCCACACACCTGAATGATGGCTCCACACACCTGTATGATGGCTCCACGCACCTGAATGATGGCTCCACACACCTGTATGATGGCTCCCACCCGCATGCTAATGGCTCCACACCCGCATGGTAATGGCTCCACACCTGCATGGTAATGGCACCACACCCGCATACTAATGGCTCCACACCCGCATGGTAATGGCACCACACCTGCATGGTAATGGCACCACACCCGCATGGTAATGGCTCCACACCCGCATGCTAATGGCTCCACACCCGCATGGTAATGGCTCCACACCCGCATGGTAATGGCACCACACACCTATATGATGGCTCAACACACCTGTATGATGGCTCAACACACCTATGTGATGGCTCAACACACCTATATGATGACTCAACACACCTGTATGATGGCTCCACACCCGCATGGTAATGGCACCACACACCTGGTTGATACCTGGTTACCTGGTTGATGGGGTTCTGGGAGTTCTTCTACTCCCCAAGCCCGGCCCGAGGCCAGGCTCGACTTGTGAGAGTTTGGTCCACCAGGCTGTTGCTTGGAGCGGCCCGCAGGGCCACGTACCCACCACAGCCCGGCTGATCCGGAACTTCTCTTAGAAAACCGTCCAGTTTTCTCTTGAAGATGTCCACGGTTGTTCCGGCAATATTTCTTATGCTCGCTGGGAGGACGTTGAACAACCGCGGACCCCTGATGTTTATACAGTGCTCTCTGATTGTGCCTATGACACCTCTGCTCTTCACAGGTTCAATCTTGCATTTTCTTCCATATCGTTCACTCCAGTACGTTGTTATTTTACTGTGTAGATTTGGGACCTGACCCTCCAGTATTTTCCAGGTGTATATTATTTGGTATCTCTCTCGTCTCCTTTCTAGAGAGTACATTTGGAGAGCTTTGAGACGATCCCAATAATTTAGGTGTTTTATCTCGTCTATGCGTGCCGTATATGTTCTCTGTATTCCCTCTATTTCAGCAATCTCTCCTGCTCTGAAGGGGGAAGTGAGTACTGAGCAGTACTCGAGACGGGACAGCACAAGTGACTTGAAGAGTACAACCATTGTGATGGGATCCCTGGATTTGAAAGTTCTCGTAATCCATCCGATCATTTTTCTGGCTGACGCGATATTTGCTTGGTTATGCTCCCTAAACGTTAGATCGTCGGACATCATTATTCCCAAATCCTTGACATGCTGTTTTCCTACTATGGGAAGATTCGATTGTGTTTTGTACCCTGTATTATGTTTCAGATCCTCATTTTTGCCGTACCTGAGTACCTGAAATTTATCACTGTTAAACATCATGTTATTTTCTGCTGCCCAATCAAAAACTTTGTTGACATCTGCTTGTAGTTTTTCAATGTCTTCAGCAGAGGTAATTTTCATGCTGATTTTTGTGTCATCTGCAAAGGACGACACGAAGCTGTGGCGTGTATTTTTGTCTATATCAGATATGAGAATAAGGAACAGTAGCGGTGCAAGGACTGTACCTTGAGGTACAGAGCTTTTAACATCGCTTGGACTCGATTTTATCTGATTGACTGTTACTCTTTGTGTTCTGTTCGACAGGAAATTGAGTATCCAGCGTCCTACTTTTCCAGTTATTCCCATTGACCTCATTTTGTGAGCTATCACCCCATGGTCACATTTGTCGAACGCCTTTGCAAAGTCTGTGTATACAACATCTGCATTTTGCTTTTCTTCTAGGGCTTCTGTGATTTTGTCATAGTGGTTGAGTAACTGTGACAGACAGGATCTTCCCGCTCTAAATCCATGTTGTCCTGGATTGTGCAATTCATTGTTTTCCATAAAACTAGAAATTTGATTCCTAATCACTCTTTCAAACACTTTTATTATGTGTGATGTTAGTGCAACTGGCCTATAATTTTTTGCCAAGGCTTTACTCCCCCCCTTGTGCAACGGAGCTATATCTGCAGATTTAAGTGCTGCTGGTATCTCCCCTGTATCCAGGCTCTTTCTCCATATTACGCTGAGTGCTCTCGCTACTGGCACTTTACATTTCTTTATGAATATTGAATTCCATGAGTCAGGCCCAGGAGCTGAGTGCATAGGCATATTATCAATTTCTCTTTCAAAGTCTTCCGAGTTTGTGGTAATATCCGTTATATTATCTGCAGCTTGAATGTCATTCATAAAGAAGCTGTCTGGGTCATCAACTTTCATGTTGTTTATTGGTGTGCTAAACATAGCCTCATACTGGCTTCTTAGAATTTCACTAATCTCTTTGTTGTCCTCTGTGTACGTACCTTCATTTGTAATTAACGGTCCAATACTGGTCGAGGTTTTGGATTTTGATTTTGCGTATGTGAAAAAATATTTCGGATTTTTCCTTATCTCTTGTATAGCTTTCTGTTCCAATTCCATTTCCTCAGACTCATATGATCGCTTCAACGTTTGTTCTATTTCCTCAATCTCCCTGCTTAGGCTTGTTTTCCTTGCTTGTGATAGTTGTGTCTGCCGAAGCATTTCCGTTATTTTTTTCCTTCTCCTGTACAGTCGTCTCCGTTCTCTTTCTAGAGTGGTCCTCTTTCTGCCCCTCCTCACAGGCACGTGCTTCAAGCAGACCTTGTAAGCTTCAGCTGTCAGTTGAGCTATTCCCTGTGTGGGAGTTTTGTCGCTTAAGACCGTCTCCCATTGAATGGTTGCAAGGTCTACATTTATTTTTTTTTTTTTTTTTATACACCTATATGATGGCTCCACACACCTGTATGATGACTCAACACACCTGTATGATGGCTCCATACACCTGTATGATGACTCAACACACCTATATGATGGCTCCACACACCTGTATGATGACTCAACACACCTATATGATGGCTCCACACACCTGTATGATGGCTCAACACACCTGTATGATGGCTCAACACACCTATATGATGGCTCCACACACCTGTATGATGGCTCAACACACCTATATGATGGCTCCACACACCTGTATGATGGCTCCACACACCTGTATGATGGCTCAACACACCTATATGACGACTCAACACACCTGTATGATGGCTCAACACACCTGTATGATGGCTCAACACACCTATATGATGACTCAACACACCTGTATGATGGCTCAACACACCTGTATGATGGCTCAACACACCTGTATGATGGCTCAACACACCTGTATGATGGCTCAACACACCTATATGATGGCTCAACACACCTATATGATGGCTCAACACACCTGTATGATGGCTCAACACACCTGTATGATGGCTCAACACACCTATATGATGGCTCAACACACCTGTATGATGGCTCAACACACCTGTATGATGGCTCAACACACCTGTATGATGGCTCAACACACCTGTATGATGGCTCAACACCTATATGATGGCTCAACACACCTGTATGATGGCTCAACACACCTGTATGATGGCTCAACACACCTG